GTTACTCCTCATTTTTTGAGGAGTAACATTAGTTCGGACTAAGGGCTTTAGTCCGAACTCACGCGTCCCGGCGCTCACTTCCTGGTTCGAATCAGCCATGATTCGAAGTAGCGCGCCGACGAGATCATGTTAATGGAGCGTGGGATATTTAAATCCCCGCTTCATTAACTACTTCGGTCGTCTCCATTTGCATCCTTAGTTCGAACTAGGGATGCAGTGTAGACATACCTTTAGTTACCAAGATCCTGTTATCTCATCAAACCATCCCCTTCATAAATCCATCCAGTTTAATCTTGAAGCCAGATAGATCTTTTGCCCCCACTACTTCCCTTGGAAGGCCGTTCCAGAACCTCACTCCTCTAATGGTTAGAAACCTTCGTCTAATCTCAAGTCTAAACTTCCTACTAGCCAGCTTATATCCATTTGTTCTTGTGTCCACATTGGTATTAAACTTAAATAATTCCTCTCCCTCCCTGGTATTTATCCCTCTAATATATTTAAAAAGTGCAATCATGTCCCCCCTCAGCCTTCTTTTGGTTAAGGTAAACAAGCCAAGCTCCTTGAGTCTCCTTTCATAAGACAGGTTTTCCATTCCTCAGATCATCCTAGTGGCCCTTCTTTGTACCTGTTCCAGTTTGAATTCATCCTTCTTAAACATGGGAGACCAGAACTGCACACAGTATTCCAAATGGGGTCTCACTACTGAGCAGAGCCCATATGTCAGATGCCAAAAGATCTGTTGTGCAGTGGAAGTCTGGCTAAGATGAAGGCATCTGTCAGTACCAGTAGTGGTTGTCGGTGTCAAGAGGCCTATACCAGCAGGGTGGTGATGTGGACCTGATAGTATGATCTGTCAGTGCCTGATGTATCACAGGCAGTACCAACGTCTGTATCAGTGGACCCTTCCTTGGGCCAGATTTTCTGTGTTTTTTTTATTCCCTGATGGTACTGGTGTTTCCTGGCCTGTAACCATTGGGTTCTTGGGCACCCAGACATGGTCTAAGAATCAGATTTAGATGGTTTTGGTGCTGTCAGTATTGATTATACTGAGCCAGACACAGTGTTTGGCTCAATGGGGGCTCACTATGGGAACTCATGGACCTTTTCTTAGAGATCTTATATGAGTGACTTGTGGGAATCTCCTTGAGCTCACCTCCCTTGGAATTAGAGGGTTATGGTGAGGTCTGTTGTGACTCAGCTGGTTGAAGGACTGACTCTTCAAGTAGGAATTTGAGCCTCAATTCTGTCCTTTTTGGATCTGGACTTTACATGTTGACACAAACTACTGCGGGATGTGTTTCTCTTAGGCACCAATAGCACTGACAGCATCCATTGGTCACTTGGATAGATTCCTTGTAAATGAGGCACTTTTTGAAGACCAGGAAGTTGGGGTGCCCTGTCCAAGGGGTTTCCCCGCAACATGAGGTTGACAAAAGAACAAAGTATTTTTCTTTCTCTTTTATTTGAGGGGACACACGCCTACAGTAGAGCATCCATAGTGACACTACTTGAAGAAACAGCATTCTCTGAATTTGGATTGATTTCTTATCATTTGTACTTTGAGTGCCTGATTTACACCTTTGTTTGGTTTTATTTCAGTTTGGATTTTTCAGTTCATGTTGATGGTTCAGAATGCTTTTATTTATGTATAATGTGACAGGATCGGTTCCACTCCTGGGTCTCAGACCCGTGTTCAGTCTACAATCTCCAGTCTAGATACTGCAGCACAGGTTTTGCTTACCCCTTTCAGCGTTTTAAGTGGAGGGTTGTCCCTTGGCAAAATTGCTGTCAGGACAGATGCTTCTGGCCGGCTTGGGCTGGGTTACCAGTCCTCCCCAGTTACCAGCTGGACTCTCTGCTTGGGGAAGGGAGACCAAACACTCCCTGTTGGAGCTCCTGACCTTCCCCCTCTTGGCAATGCTGCCATTCTCTTTGTCAGTGTCCCCCATTCTAACCTTATCTGTTGTAATTCTGCTACACCCTCCCACAAAGAGAACGCTTTAAAGAGGTCCTGTGGCTGGCTGAAGTCAGCTCAGCTAGCCCTTATTTGCTTTAGAGCCACTCAACTACCCCTAATTAACCAGGGCAGTTACTATTTCAGAGCTGCCTTTCTCCCCCTTTTGATCAAGCTCTCTAACCTGCCCTGTCACAATAAACATCCTTTTTATTGGCAATATGAGATCACTTTTATTAAGTTTATCTGTTGAATGTTGCCTGATGTCTATATTATTTAAGTTTTACGGCTCAAATCAGTTTATTAATTAGATGTTTTTACCTTAATATTTAGAATTATGCAGATAAAAAAGAATTAGACATGGAAATGTTTAGGCATCTTGAAAAAGCAGTAGAAAGAGCTCTGTGTGATTTAGGAAAGGTTCCAGAAGTCAGCATGAGCCAGCCATTACTCTCTGCTGCAAGACCACACACTGCTCCAATTATTTGCAGTCCAACTAAAGAGACCCACAGAGTACAACCTGCAAGTTCTTACACAACTTCACTTGATTCTTCTGACACTGATGATCCAGGAAATGCTACAAGTTCAGAAAGTGATATTCTAGAAAGTCAAGCACAGCAAGTAGAAAAAGCTTCTGAAAAGTGGGCAGAGTTTTGTAAGATTGTCCAAAGAATATTACATCAGAACTTGAGACCCCAAAAGGATGGCTAATTAACTTAACCACAGATAATTGATATGGCTAAGAAAAGTCTTATATAGGGGATGTTTCATCTTCTAACCTTTTCCCCCCACTGTAATGATTAATTAAATGTTCTTGCCGTATATTATTTGACTGTGTGTATTCTGTTATTAACCGGTATTAAAGATGCTACTTCTTCAAATATCTGTTGCTATGTATGCTCCACCATAAGGTGTGTCCATGTCTGTGCACTCTTGACTGAAAACTGTAAACAGTGGCCACAAGCCTATGCTTACACATATTGGGGCATATAGGGAGTTCTGGATCTGCCACAACCATTGTTCTTCTTTGGGTAGTCCCCGTCGGTGCTCCACTTCTGGCGTTGGGCTGGTCCCGGCGCCGTAAATTGGAGCTTGCCAGAGCTGTGTTCAGCCGGACCGCGCGTGCGCGAAACAGTTTCGCGCCTTTCATCTGCCGTGCACGGTCTGGCACCCAATTTCCTCTCATCCGCCTTGGGTCACACACGGAGCTCCCCCTTTCTCCTCAGACAGTTACCTGAGTGGAAGTTTAGAAACATTTAGATAATATTTCTTTAGCTGTATATATCCCGTTTTCTTGTTAGCCCTTGGTTGCAGGCTCTTTGTTTAAAAACAAAAACCTGAAACATCAAACAAACAGAAGGAAGAGAGACATTTCTTCTCATTTACACGCTGTTTTCTCTCTGTTACTGTTGCTATTCAACTTAGTAGTTTCACTGTTTAAAAAAAAAACCCATCAGAGTCAAACGCGGCGGCACACAGGAGGCGCAAACTCACACTCCTCCCCCGGTTTTAAAAAATGTTCCACGTGCAGGGAGCCAATGCCGGTGTCCGACGGGCACTCTGCTTGTGTCCGTTGCCTGGGGGAGGCACATATTCCCCAAAAGTGCACACATTGTGCCAGGCTAACGACGAGAGCGCGTAAGGAGCGGGAGAGACGCTTAAAGGAGATCCTGTTTAGTAAGGCTCTCATGCCTGCCAATGTAACAGGCTCCTCTGCCTCGGACCCCACGCCAGAAAAGCGGAGAGCTCCTCCCCAGCTGTGCTGTCTCCTAAAAGGAAGACAGCCTCTCCTGCTCATTCCCTGCCAATTGCTCCGCAATCGCGGGTGAGCGCAGGTGATAAGCCGGGTACCTCGGGCTCGAGGATGACCCGTGCACCTACTTCAAAAAAGCCGGCCGGCCCTTCCTGGTCCCGGCAGCCCTTGACACCACAGCCTACAGCAGAGCTTCTTAAAGGGCCAGTTACAACGGCACCGAGAAGCTTCGTACCGACCTCTGAGATCCCTGCAGTCACTCCTCCTCACAAGGAGCTGTCCTCAGCACCTGCACCAGAGGAGCATGCTGCCGCCCAGGTGCCTCCTTCATTGCAGACAGCTGATCACTCTGCATGCTCAGAGCAGCTTCCACCAACCTCTACTAAAGCAGCAGCTAAACGAAATGTCCAGGAGGTCTCTCTCTCTCCCTCCCCAGTTTTCTCTCCGGAACCATCCCCTCACCCTTCTACTTCTGCACATCATACAAGGGCTCAGAGGGAATATCATGGGCGAAGCGTGCCATCTCGCCACCATTATTATAGGGAGCGCAGCTGCTCACACCACAGATGCTCTAGATCTCGTTCTCCATCAAGACACTCACGCTCGCCGATCTGTTCACCACGGAACGATTACTATGTCAAGCATAGCAGTGTTAGGTCTTCTAGACATTCGTCGCCTGCAGGCTCTGATCGACATTATATGCATTATCATAGACCTTACTACACTGAATCATTTCATCACAGTCACTCTTGATCTCACTGCAGATCACCTTGTTCCTGTCAGTCGATCAGTCCACGCTCCGTACATTCAGAGCTTCAGAAGCAGTCTCCGCTTTGGGATACGCTACCTCCACGTTCTCCGGTCCCTCGATCACAAATGTCAGACCTTGAGGAAGGGCAACTCTCAGAAACCGACTCAGACATTTCTCCTAATGCCTGCTCGTCCGTGCTCTCAAGGGATGAACCGGTGACTCTGGTGGAGACGACACCTCCTGACGACCTCAAGGAATTCCAAGATCTCTTTAAACGTGTTGCGCAATCCCTGGAGGTACAACTTACTGAGGCCCAGGTGAAACAACATAAGCTGTTCAAGAATTTACACCCTAAACAGCAGCAAAGGATTGTCCTCCCGATAGACGACGCTATCATGGAGGTAGCAGAGGAAATCTGGCAAACGCCAACATCAATACCGCCTTCCAACAAAAAAGCGGATAAGAAGTATTTCGTTCCGTCCAAGGGGTTGGACTTTCTTTTCAATCACCCACAGCCTAACTCATTGATAGTGGATGCGGTTTGCCATAAGAATAAGAAGCCCCACTTCAAAAACTCCCTACCAGATAGGGATACTAAGAAATTAGACCTTTTCGGGCGTAAGATTTACTCTTCCTCAACTTTGACAATTACTCCAAGCTTCCGGAACTTATGCAACACCTTCTCGACAACAAGAGACCCCTTTTTAAAGCAGTTGTCCAAGAAGGGTTCACGGCATGCAGAACATCACTTCAAATCGCTGCTGACGTCGCGGACACAACCGCACAGGCTATGGCAACAGATATTGCGATGCGAAGAGCCTCCTGGCTATTGTCGGCAGGAGCCCCAAAGGAGTTGCAGTCTAAAGTAGAAGATTTACCCTTTGATCGTCAAAAGCTGTTTGCCTCCACTACTGATGAGATTCTCCATTCTGGGAAGGATTCTCGTACTACCCTCCAGACTCTAGGAATGTACACGCCGCCTTACAAACGCAGGCGATACTACCCCTTTCAAAGGAGATACGATTACTCATCCTACAAGCAGCAACAACAATGCGGACCTGACCAGTCTAGGTTTAGACAGTGTCCTCAACGCAAACGTCAGCAGCAGAATCACCCATCAGCTCGGCCTGCTCAGAAACAGCAGGTTTGACTTACGTGCGAAGGACTCGAACACGTCTCCAGTGGTCAACACACAAAAGCCTGCCACTGGCCTGTTCTATCACCGGCTGAGGCCATATCTTCATCAATGGGCCAGTATTACTTCGGACCAATGGGTCCTAGAGGTTATATCATCAGGCCTAATGATCCCTTTTACCTCAGTTCCTTCCACTACCCCTCCCACTCCGTCCCTGCTGAGGGACCCATCTCATGGGGTCGCTCTTCAAGGAGAAGTCCTTCACCTCCTAGAGATCGGAGCCATAGAGCGAGTACCTGTGGAATTCCGGGGGAAAGGTTTTTACTCCAGGTATTTCCTAGTCCCCAAGAAGTCTGGGGGGGTTGAGACCTATCCTCGATCTGAGAGGTCTAAATAATTTCATCCGGAAGCAGCGCTTCAAAATGACCACGCTGGCCAAGATCATTCCAACACTAAACAGAGGAGACTGGATCGCAGTCCTAGATTTACAAGACGCATATTTTCATGTGACAGTACACGTAGCTCACAGGCAATTTCTGCGATGCGTAGTGGGGAACAACCACTTTCAGTACAGGGTACCTCCGTTTGGCCTTATCTCAGCCCCAAGAGTGTTCTCCAAAACAATGGCGGTAGTGGCTGCCCATCTATGCAGAACAGAGGTCTCAATTTTCCCGTCTCGATGACTGCCTCATCAAAGGCCACACTCAGTCAGAGACTCATCACATGGTAGTCGCAACTCGAGATTTATTCGGCTCCCTCGGCCTTATTGTAAACATTCAAAAATCGCGTCCGCAACCGACGCAAGCCCTAACCTTCATAGGAACACAGCTCAACTCCTGATCAGAGAGTTCATCTGCCAGCTAAGCGTTTTCAACTCATACAAGACTTGATAAAAAGGTCTTGCAATCTCAAATGCTCCCAGTACGCGTATGCCTACAGCTCTTAGGTCATATGGCAGTAACTACAATCATAGTGCGCCACGCACGGTTACACCTGCGGTGCCTGTAACATTAGCTGAGCACAGTATACAATCCCGTCAGGCACAGCATCCGCAAAACCGTTCTGCTACCCGCATGTGTCAAGGACTCCCTACATTGGTGGACCAACCCCAACAACATGCTGTCAGGAGTCCCCTTCCATTCGGCGCAACCGTCAAGGGAGATTACCACGGATGCTTCTCTCATCGGCTGGGGAGCCCATATGGGCGCAGAAACAGTCCAAGGCCGTTGGTCCACGAGGGAAATGATGCTCCATATCAACCTTCTCGAACTCCGAGCGGTGTTTCATGCCTGCAAACACTTCAAGATGCGCATAAGAGGAACCGTCACCAGAATTCTCACCGACAACATCGTGGCGATGTATTATGTAAACAGGCAGGGAGTTGCCCGCTCCCGCTCCCTTTGTACAGAAGCAATCCGCCTTTGGACCTGGTGCATTCGAAATGACATTTTTATAGTCGCGTCATACTTACCAAGTGTGAACAATACCATTGCGGATGCGCTGAGCAGACATTTTCATCAAGACCACAAGTGGGTGATCCGCACGGACGTCCTCTTACCTCTCTTCCATCGGTGGGGTCGTCCGGCGATAGATCTGTTCGCCACTCGTGCCAATGAGAAATGCAGAGCTTACTGTTCCAGGGCAGGAGTGGGCGCTCACTCCCTGGGAGATGCATTTCTCCTCCACTAGGGGACATCACTTCTGTATGCACTCCCCTCTGTTGTGCTCATTCCCAGAGTACTCAAGAAGATCCTGATGGACAAGGCACGGTGATACTCATAGCCCCAGTGTAGCCCAGACAGCCATGGTACTAAACTCTCCTACAGTTCTCCGTCTGGGCACTGTACCGATTTCCTTACCTACCAGACTTGCTGACACAACAGAAGGGCTCCCTCCTTCATCCGAAGCTGGACACTCTGCACCTAACAGCGTGGATGATAGATGGTTCAGCATGTCCGAGAATCTTTGCTCAGACCAGGTGAAGCGTGTCCTGCTACACAGCAGAAAGGACTCCACCAGGAAAACATACCTCTCCAAGTGGTCTAGATTCACACGCTGGTGCGCTCCTAAGCACCTAGACCCTGTTATTTCACCACTACATGTTTTACTGGATTATGTCCTCCACCTACAGGCAACTGGACTCTCCATGTCATCACTTAAAGTCCATATGGCAGCGATTGCTGCTTTTCACGATCCCGTCGAAGGGAGGTCGGGTTTCTCCCATCCCATGATGATTAGATTTCTCAAAGACCTGGCTAACCTTAACCCACCACTTAGGCCTCCGCCACCTACGTGGAGTCTTGACCTGGTGCTGGATATCCTAACTCGGCCACCGTTTGAACCACTGGCTACGGTACCCATGTCAATGCTTACAGTGAAAGTACTCTTCCTCCTTGCTATAACATTGGCACGGAGGGTGAGCAAATTAGCTGCATTGATGTCAACGCCCCCCCATACAGTCTTTAATAAAGAATCCGTAATATTGAGATCTCATCCAGCCTTTCTACCTAAAGTCTGCATAGAATTTCATATAAATGAGCCAATCATTTTACCATGTTTCTATCCAAAACCTCATGCCTCGCAGCGTGATGCTCTTCTGCATACTCTGGATGTCCGCCGAGCCTTGGCATTCTATATTGATAGAACCCGCACTCTTTGAAGACGGATCGCCTCATTGTTTCGACATCAGGGCCTTCTAGGGGCCAGCCCCTATTGGCCCAGCATATTTCTAAACTCGTTGTATCTTGTATCACAACTTGCTACACTATTTGTAAGAAGCCACTCCCATCGCAGCTTAGGGTCCACTCGACACGAGCAGTTGCTGCGTCAGTAGCCTTTGTGAGAGGAGTCCCTCTGCATGACATCTGCCGAGCAGCGACCTGGTCTTCTAGTACCACTTTTTCAAGACGTTATGCAATACTGCAGCACTTTGCCTCCGATTCGGCGGTAGCTTTAGCAGTACTGCCTAGTTATCAGAATCATGATTCCGAAGCCCACGTCTAACTGGGATTACTGCTTCGGAGTCACCAGAAGTGGAGCACCCATGGGGACTACCCGAAGAAGAAGAAGAGTAAATTACTCACCTTCGTGCAGTAACGATGTTTCTTCGAGGTGTGTCCCCGTGGGTGCTCCACGACCCGCCCTCCTCTCTGCTTCGGAATCTCGTCTCTTTCTGTCTTGCAGATAGGCGGTGAGAAGTACTGGTGGGTGCCGGACTGTGCGCGGTAGATGAAAGGCACGAAACTGTCTCGTGCACGCGCGGTCTGGCCAAACACAGCTCTGGCAAGCTCCAATTTGCGGCGCCAGAACCAGCCCGACACCAGAAATGGAGCACCCACAGGGACATACCTTGAAGAAACATCGTTACTGCACGAAGGTAACTTCCTCTTCCCTCTAATCTTTCCAGACATGTGCAAAATGGTATTTTGACGTGCACTGAGGCATGTGTGACTGTGCACCACCAGCAGACACAAAATTCTTGCTAATCTACTGGGCAGAATTTGACTCTCTTCTGAACTGCCACACAAGCACAAGCTTACAAGGAGCACTGGCCACAACTCATTTCCTTCTCAGCCCCCATGGTGTGATATGGAACACTTGGGCTATGTCTACACTGGCGGGTTCTTGTGCAAGAATGGCCGTTCTTCCGCAGAGCATCCACACTGCCCGTCCGCTCTTGCGCAAGAAGATTTACAGTAAAGTGTGGTAAGAGAGGGATTCTTGCGCAAGAGCTACGCTCTTTTTTAAAAAGTGTAAGTCCTCTTGCGCAAGAGCTCTTGTGCAAGAGGGGAGTGTGGATGCACGGCAGGGGTTTCTTGCGCAAGAAAGCCCTATGGCTAAAATGGCCATCACAGATTCCTTGCGCAAGAGAGCGTCCACCCTGCCATGGATGCTCTTGCGCAAAAGCAGATGGCAGTGTGGACATGTTCTTGCACAAGAACCTGCCAGTGTTCCGTTCTACAGCTGCCTGTCTTTTCTCACTTACTATGAACTTTTCTGTCTTATATTCAGCCTTGAAAATTTAGGCCCAAAAGTGTGGAATTAAAAGAACTCATCTAATGTCTGGAACTTGTTTGCCTCTAGCCCCTTCATTTAGTGCCTAGATAATTGATGTAGGCAAACTGAACAGTCTGCAGACAAGTATTGAATGGACTTTATTCTGCTTTTAAGCATTCATGAAAGTTTGGAATAGGGAAAGGATACAATTCAGCAGCCAGTAATTTCAAATATGTAGTCTAAATAATATGTAGGATTTCAGTATTTTAAGGCAGGGGTTCCCAACCTGGGGTACGTGTACCCCCAGGGGGTACGAGAAACTTGTCAAGGGGGTACGGGGAATATTTGATAAATAACTAGATTATCCTAATTGAAATTTTCCAAAAGTAGTAGTGTTAGTGAAAAAAGTTTGGAATCTAGAGTCTAGAATTTATTTCCTTTCATATTGAATAGGGAGTACGGCTTACTAAAAGCCAAGGGGGCATGGGGACCAAAAAAGGTTGGGATCCCCTGCTCTAAGGTATGTAGGATTTCTTTATGCACTATATGTTATTTAATTATTAACATACATTAAAGGGACATTTCAGAAGCACCAATCATGTTCTGCTAGTAGTACTTTGAATTTTACCCTGCATTATAATAATTGGTAATTGGAAATATGAAGCAATAAAGCAGAGAGTGTGGTATCCAATGCACAATCCTGTATTAAGGCAGATGCAACTACTGCTACTCTGGAAGAGTCAGTGTTCAGTTGCAAAATGTATAAATTTCTCTAGACAACAATATTAAGCTGCCAAAGTGACTCCGGTGAGTTACATAAAACCAAAAGGATAAAGTCTTAAAATGCAAGATTTCCATCATGTGTCAGTGGAATAGCACGCAAAATCAACTAAGATGAGGCGATGCACAAACTGTGGCATTTATACACATAGAAATAGATTTAATAAAGTCCTTTATCAATGGCCAAAAGTGCATCCTCTAAAAGGTTACCAAAAACACTGAGATCCTTTGAGGGCAATGCAGTAAAAGAGTTGATACCCCAATACTGGGATTAACAAACCAGTTGAAGGCCAAAGGCTCCATATGACCCTGAATGTAGTGGTGCAGTACTTGGGAATTCAGATGGCACTTGATTGCAATATTCTTCAAGTAGAAATTCTATGAATACGTACAATAGTAGATCAGTCTATAGAAGGAGACTACTAAGGGATATCAGTCGAAGGGGATAGGGAGAAGGATAATAAGCATCAATAGTTTTAAGATGGGCTTTTTCTGCAGTGTGAGGCCTACTGCATTTTACAGTGCTAGGTGTTCAAGTATAGCTCTCGTATTTGTACTTAAACCAGTACAGAGAAAAACAGCAAGTAGAAATCACATTTTCCTTCTTTGAAGCATTGAGGAGGTATGATGGTTTATCACTGTTTTAAAAATTCCACTCTGTCTGTCTTTCATTTGTGCAAATACATCCAAGCTCAGGCCTGATTGCTCTTGAGGGCAGTGGCAGGAATTGTGGTCTGTTTTGTTGAACAGGAGGTGGTAACAGTGAAAGTAAGGAACTCCTTGTTTGTTCTTTTACCTGAGAGAGAGGGGGGAACGAGAGAAACAAACAGAATAAAACAGTGCTGTACATACAAGTCCCTTGAAACACTAGACTTTACTAAAAATGCATGAAAGAGTATAGCAATAACCTTGTATACTAGGATGATATTGGAGGAAACAGAGTTTGAGACTAGCTTTGTCACTTCATAGTAGATTGAACATGAATGTTTGTGTATTTGTAGTCTATTAAGGGTGGGGAATCTTTTTTGGGGCAGGGACCAATGACCCACAGAAAAATCAGTTGGGCAGGGACTGGAGTGCCAGCGTGGGCTCCCCAATTTTGGGGGATGTGGGGAGCCCTGAAGGCCAGATCCAGGCAACCCAGGGACAGCATCTGGCCCCTGGGCCTAAGGTTCCCCGCTCCTGAGTACAATGACTAGCTTGACTTATTTTGGTTGAAAAAACACAGTTTATCTTAATGGTTACGCTCATTACAATGTATTTTAATCTTTTAAATAAGTTTTCAAATTCTGTTTAACAGAAAACTTGATTGCTGTGTTATGCATCCTAGAGGATATGACATTTTGTAAGAGTTGTCTACAGCATCCTGGCTGTTAAGGGAGATTTTACTTTACAGTGGTTTTTACTTTAATTGTAACCCAACTTTTTAATATTCTGCCATTTACTTCTGTCTATTAGTTCATCTCAGCAATGAGAATTTAGTACACTCACCTGTCTGAAAAAAGTGTGAGACAGCAAACTGCTTGCTGATGGCCTGGATCATAAAATGGGAAACACAAGATTACGATTTGAAAATAAGCGTTGGTGTTTGTGGAAGATGCCAGATTGACCATGCAGTCTAGCCCTAGGGTTAGAGAACAAGCTTCCTTCATTCTGTGCCTCAACTTTGCTGGGAGGGCATTACCAGAGGCAATGAGTTCACTGGTCCAGGACATTCAATTCTGGACCTCTACAGAAGGCATAAAGTGATAGAGGGATATATCATCCTGTTGAAATCTACCAGAATTTAACAGTATAAACTAGCTTCTGGAACTAGCCCTTTCTGAGTCTTCTTGCTGATATATGGTTTTCAAAAGTCGTTTTTAGACATAAGCTCCATTATTCAAGAAAGCTTTTAGATTCAGTAATGAAATAAGATTTTAAAAGCATGTTGAAGGCTATTCTTCAGACAAGACAATACTGGCCTGGCACTTTGACAATGTAGTGCTGTGAAAATAAACCCAAATGCACTTAATCTTAACACTGAATTTATCATTAGGTGTATATGATTTAGTAGATCCCAAGTTCACACTAGGTTATATCTTATTTTGAAATAATAGTGAATATTAGTATTTACGGGTAAGTTACCTTTTTTCAGGGTCCTGTTGCAAACAGAGTTCTACCAAGTTATGGAAAGCAGGAGAAAATGTTTTTGAGGATGGAGTTTGCAACCTCTCACTAGTCATTGTGTGTGTCATACTTTCACCAATCCCAGAATCTACACCTGACTGGGAGTTCTTCATTCTGGATTCCCCACATGGAAAGGTGTTTATATCCCAAGGACAGTAAGTCGGACCTTTCAGCTTATGAAGCAGCATCTGGTAGAAGGGAAAGGTAGTGTGAGTCCAGTGGCTATATTAGCCTCTTGATGCTGTGATGAATTGGCAGTAACTTTGTACAATTTATGAAATCTGATTAATACTATGAAAAAAAACAAGTGCCTGCAGGTAGATCTACCTTTGACAGGTTCTATAGCAAATTCACAGCAAACAGGAGAGTGGGAAATATCTCAGATTAACCACAGTATTTAAACCACACAAAGATTATGCTCCAAAGCAGCTGCATTCTTGAGAAAAACCCATTTAAACTAAATCCCTGATGAGAGGGGTCAGACAAGAACAGAGACAGAATCAAGGAAGCCAAGGGCAGGTGTAGTGTTAAAAACCAAACCAGACAGAAAAAGGAAGTCTTGGACAGAAGAGAGCAAGTTCACAGAAGCTGACGGAAAGATTACCTACCATGTCACTTCCTGCATGAGGCAAAGGATGCTCTCGAAGGACTCCCAGGGGAAGGTAAGCTACAAAGTGGCACTGTGGTCAAAACGGTTGTTTTGTATGATTTCTTCTCCTATGCTTTATATGATTTAGTATTTAAAAAGAGCAAATGTGTGTGTGAACTGCTTCACAACTGCTACATGCCTCTGAGAGAGTTTCACCATAAGCTGGGGGTGGCATTCTGAAAGAGGGTGTGAACAAATGGTTCCTTCATTCAGAAGTGTGTCACCTAAGTGGGTACCATAAAATTGTGGTAGTGAATGAACTCTCGTCAGGCTCCAGGGATAGAGTTTTCTAATACAGGCAGTCCCCGAGTTACGCGGATCCAACTTACGTCAGATCCGCAGTTACGAACGGGGCCCTTCCTCTCCCTGGTCTCCAGCAGACCACGGAGAGGAAGCAAAGCGGCGGAACACGCGGGCAGCGGACAGGGCTGTCCGCTGCCCACGCGCTCCGCGGCTTGGCTCTGCTTTGCCTCCCCGTCCCCCTGGTCTACAGCCCAGGGGGACGGGGAGCAAAGTGGCGGAACACGCGGGCAGCGGACAGGGCTGTCCGCTGCCCACGCGCTCCGCGGCTTGGCTCTGCTTTGCCTCCCCGTCCCCCTGGTCTACAGCCCAGGGGGACGGGGAGCAAAGTGGCGGAACACGCGGGCAGCGGACAGGGCTGTCCGCTGCCCACGCGCTCCGCGGCTTGGCTCTGCTTTGCCTCCCCGTCCCCCTGGTCTACAGCCCAGGGGGACGGGGAGCAAAGTGGCGGAACACGCGGGCAGCGGACAGGGCTGTCCGCTGCCCACGCGCTCCGCGGCTTGGCTCTGCTTTGCCTCCCCGTCCCCCTGGTCTACAGCCCAGGGGGACGGGGAGCAAAGTGGCGGAACACGCGGGCAGCGGACAGGGCTGTCCGCTGCCCACGCGCTCCGCGGCTTGGCTCTGCTTTGCCTCCCCGTCCCCCTGGTCTACAGCCCAGGGGGACGGGGAGCAAAGTGGCGGAACACGCGGGCAGCGGACAGGGCTGTCCGCTGCCCACGCGCTCCGCGGCTTGGCTCTGCTTTGCCTCCCCGTCCCCCTGGTCTACAGCCCAGGGGGACGGGGAGCAAAGTGGCGGAACACGCGGGCAGCGGACAGGGCTGTCCGCTGCCCACGCGCTCCGCGGCTTGGCTCTGCTTTGCCTCCCCGTCCCCCTGGTCTACAGCCCAGGGGGACGGGGAGCAAAGTGGCGGAACACGCGGGCAGCGGACAGGGCTGTCCGCTGCCCACGCGCTCCGCGGCTTGGCTCTGCTTTGCCTCCCCGTCCCCCTGGTCTACAGCCCAGGGGGACGGGGAGCAAAGCAGAGCAAAGCAGAGCCAAGCCGCGGAGCGCGTGGGCAGCGGACAGCCCTGTCCGCTGCCCGCGTGTTCCGCCGCTTTGCTTCCTCTCCGTGGTCTGCTGGAGACCAGGGAGAGGAAGGGCCCCGTTCGTAACTGCGGATCTGACGTAAGTTGGATCCGCGTAACTCGGGGACTGCCTGTAGGACTTCTCAGGAGAACCAGGAGTTGGAAGATCATTTGATCTAGGAAGCAGCATGTATGTTTGAAATAAAAAAAGCAGCCCTTTAATATATTTAGTAGTAACTCCTATTATGTATGAGAAAAACAGACCTGTGAATGAAGTTCTGAGAAGTATTTAGGAGTATTTTTTATTTTACCTTTGCATGAGGTATATCTTGAAATGGTACATATCCATTGGCTAATTCACATGCTGTTATCCCCACACTGTAAATGTCAGACTTCACATTATATCCATACAAATCCTGTGGGAGAGAAAAAGCATTATATCATCACGCTGGGAACTACTGAATATGCACTGCAAAAATATGCATATGCAAATATACTATAGGTATAATACTGTTTCAGGACCCAATCCTAATATCCCATAGCTAACAAGTTGTCAGTAAGCTAGTTATATAAGATCGGGCCCTCTGACTGTAAGAGTGATTTAATGCACACCATTCTTAATAGATTTCACAGTTGATATTTGTACATAAGAAATAGTTAAGAGTCAATGCAATTATTTTTAGGCTGCCATGGGGGGAAAAATCTGTGTCCATTAGAATCATATCCTTTAGAACTTTTGTAACTGGCAAGAGGTAAAAATATTAAGCTACATGGATCCCCTAAAAAACAAATTTTATTTTAAGGTTCTTAAACAATTTGCATACCAAATCTAGCTTGGAAGTTTGAAATGAATAGCCTTTACAGCTGTTTCACAAACCTAGTAAGTACACATTTTTAAAAAGGAAACAGACATCTTGAAAGACTCAAGGCAAAGTGAAGTGGTTATACTGACCTGTCTCAGTAGCTCAGGACTCAGCCAAGGAAGCACTGACGTACTAAAATGGGGGAAATCATACACAACCTTTGACCTCTGTCCATTGTTAATTAAACTGTAAAGATGGTTTAAGCCAGACAGAGAAACTAGACCATTCCCTGAAATCAGAATGTGGCTAGCTTTAATATTCCTGAAACAAAGTGATAAAATGTAGTTATAAAAAATCACTCAAATTAATATTACTTATCGTTACAGTAGAAAACCTGCTATATAGTCATAAAATATTTATGAAATGGTCTGACTCAAGGCATATTATAGCCCTCTTGAGGGACATGTTAAAAATGAAGAGAAACTATATAAACGCTGAATCTATTATCCAAAATGTATGGTCACAAAACCCCAACTTTGGTGTTCATTCTAAAAACTGAATTTTGTATGTAAAATTTTCACACACCTCAAACAAAAAGCATGTTTGGATACATATAGATCCACAGTGCCTCACTGAGTTTTGAAACACTATCAAAACTAAGGTTCTGCGTGCCACCATAATCATATCCTCATTAGTAGGGTTCAACAAACCGTGGCAAAATCCACTTGCCAGCCCTGCACTGCACATGTGCCAGACCCGCATTGCACATGAGTGTACCCCCGGTGAACAGGGCGACCGGCTGAAATCTACTCACCACAGGCGAGTAGATAAACAGATTTGTCGAGCCTTGCTCATTAGCATTCACCTACACTGGAATACAGATACAGATTGAATCTCTCTAGTCCAGAACCATGAGAACCTGACTAGTGCTGAACCAGAGAATTTTCCTAACCACAGAAGGTTAATATTGTCTAGCATCATTACCAACATTTCCATTCCCTACTGGGCTCTTGGAAGGCATTTAGGGGTAAATTAGACCTAAACAAACTTTATGGGACCGTGGGAAACTTGGCCATATTCATAAATGGATATCCAGCTAATTAAAATCATGTTGGACCATGGATGCTGCGGACCAGAGTGCACCAGATTAAAGAGATTGAATTTGTAATATAATACAACAGATTAAACTTTCCCTAATATTCAGTTTTATTTGTAGTTAAATATTCCCCAGTGGAGGAGACAGGCAAGCCAATATGCATGTAAAATATACATAGGTGTCAGTAAACATAGTTCTCTGGCATCTGCAGTCAATATGTACAGTGAATGGGGGTAGCGGTGCATCCAAAGGAGCTATACAAAGAAAAACGAGGAATGCATGTAAGGGTGTCTGTATAGAAAGGAGGTCAATGAGGAATAACTAGTTTACAATGGATTTGAGGGATAGGGAAGGAAACATTCTCTGAACCCTATTCTGGAGTTAAGATCCAAGATGTTATCTCTAGAGTCAGGTTGGGCTTTTAGCTGGTACTTGGTGATGCCTATGTCAGATACAGTGAACACTATATAAGAAAACAGGTACAGAAAAATGAATGCTGGATATGTAGAAGATGGGCTGTTTCTTGTCTACAGGATGAACTGAACTGGAGTTTAAATTAAGGTTTGTTTACAAATTATTTCTCTGCATTTCAAGAGTAGGTATGTAAGTGACTAGTCGTAGTTGAGCAGTTACTTGACTAGTCACTCTCCCTCCCTTGCTGCCTCTGTCAGAAGCAGCAAGTGGGGGCGGGGGAGGACGCAGGAGCCAGTGCCTGGGGGGACAGCTAAAAAGCCGGTTACCCCCCAGTACCATCTCTTCGGGGGAGTTAGAGGAGGAAGAAGCATAGCAGGGGGACAGGGTGTGAGCCAGGAATCAGCTGCTCTGTCTTGTGCCTGGTTCCCCCTGCTGCGCCCCTCTGTCTTTTAAGAGCCTGGTGGCTCCTTCTGGTTACCATACATATATATTATGGTGATACTACCTACAATATAAAATACAAGCATTTCCGTATACATAATATTAAGCATTAATATAGCAATTATATAGCCCAAATTGACCTGCACCTTTGTTATAATTCTGTTCACTTATGCTAAGTATTCCATAACAGCTTGCATTAGCTAAAGTAAACTTTGTCAGAAGAAAACTGTTAGTATCAGGATGTTTTTGCATAGCAACTGAAAAAGAGTTACCCTCGCAAACCTGTTTCTCCTGGTAGAGGCCTAGCCTTAGGAGATGTTTTTACACCCTCAGAACCTGGACTGCGTGGGTTTAGAACAAGATAAGTGGGTACCCTATGGTATCACAAACAAATAAGATAAAAAATTGCTTATTTCAATCCGATTTCAGGTGATGTGTATATAGTATCTCTTTTTCTGGTAAACAAGTATGTTATAAAAAGATGGCTTTAGTGATGTATCTTTGGGGAGCGCACCTTCCATGTAAAGGTGAATGTAGTATTGCTTCACACTCCTGCCCTGGAATTGTATTGAACACTTTAATTCCTATACCATATTAATAAACCCAACAATGTTTATTTGGTTTTTTGACTACATTTTATAACAAACCAAAGTGAAGTCAAGACATTGTCTATACAATTTATCAAGCACCATAGGACTACTGAAAACTCTGAGTGCTTTACACCTCTAAAGTGCAGTATAAACAGTAAAACTTGACCAAGCAGATGCTGCCATTCCTCAAGCCCCACAAAAGAAGAGGAAGCTATTCAATTAAGTTGAATAGCAACACATTGGATAAAGGGAAATTTGTTACAAAGCATTATAATTCAATCTCTGCAATGTACTGCCACAGAAAATCATTGTGGTAGGAAGGCTCAAAAGTGACTAGACTTTTATGGGAACGGAAGTACTATCTTCAGCTAAACTAGTTGGGCCAGAAAGCCTGAAGGGTATCAAACCAAGAAAGTGCTCAGAGAGGTGGTGTGTCTATTCCACACTGCTGAACAATTTGTGAAATATTAGTTAAAAGGGAACTCCCTTTCCTCTAAAGCAGAGGGAGCAAACTACAACCCATGGGCCCCTATTGTCCAGATCTTGAGCTCCCATCTGTAGGGGCTGGCCCCCAGTGCCTCCTTTTCTTTCTCCCCTGTGGGGCAGGGCTTCAAGTTGCCCAGCCACTGGCACCGATGCTCCGGGTGGCATGGCTGTGAGCTCCAGCCAGATGCACAGCTATAGCACCGCCAACCTTGGTGCACCAGACATGATGATCAGAAGACTGGGGTTTGGAGGGCCAGTCATGGAGCAGAGTGGTTGGATTGGGGGCAGGAGACAGTGGGGGGAGGAAGCAGGTGTCAGGGGTTAGATTGGAAGCAGGGATTCTTGTGGGGATGGGGAGCAGGAGGGCTGGATAAGGGGCATAGGCTGGGCCATGCCTGGCTGTTCATGAAGACAAAGCCTCCCATATCTGGCCCTCCATTTGATTCTGGAACCCTGCTGTGGCCGTCATGCCAAAAATATTGCCCACCCATGCTCAGCGACAGGCTTCTGATAACTGAATAGTAGACAAATGAGTAGCTTCAGTTTGGAAGCTTGTGTGCTGCTATAACTTCTTACTTATGGCATCGACTCATACCTGTGAATGTAACCATTTTGGTGCATGTAATTTAACCCTCTAACTGCACCAAACAGAATGTTTCCTATCAAAGCTTCACTCATTCCTTCAGGAAAGTAGGTCCTTAGTAGGTGGCTAGCTGAATCTGAAAAGAAAAATTCATGCCAAGAACACAGGTCTGGTTAGTGACAAATCTTTATTCCTACTACACTACAGCACATTCTTCACTGGGCATGTACCCTCTAGCAGAAACACTGTCCTCTCTTTACAATGGCTTATACAGAGAGGTAACTTCTGAGGAAGAAAGTCACCGCTGAGTATATCACTGAAAGAAAATGATTCTTCCAGTAGTAAAAGATAAAGCCTACCACCTCCTACATTCAGTTTCCATGAACTGGAAACCTGCTGTTTCACCCCTATAGCCAATCCACAATACCTTCTATGAGAAGCAAAATGCATGTCTGGCACAGGGCAACTAGGGCATAGCCAAGGTCTATAAGAGTAGAGATGCTGAAAGGAAATATACAATTGCTCTCTCTTATGCTCTTCCATAGCCGCAGGCTTGGCATTAAGGACTGAGCGATCTAATCCAAAGTAAGCTTTTTCCCCCAAGTTGTAGTTACAATTCTTACTGTAAGCCATGAATGGAGAGATGACCCAAAGCCAGCTGCCAGCAGTAAACACTGTCCAAAGTGTCATTATATTGGGGTGCTGGAAAAAGTGGGATAGCACCACCTCACTCTAGGGAATCAAACAAAAGTGAGTAAAGTTATTTGGAAAATAATTATCTTGACAAAAACCTCAACTGCAACAGGTACTCAGTAATTTTTAAAAAGTCAATTTTGTAAATATACTTCTACTAGCTAACAAGTTTGGAGTCAAATAATGTAGCTTGTTAGACACTTTGCACAACTTGCAATGAAAATTCAAACAAGCTGTTGAAGCTTTCATTGTCTAACAACTAGAACTGTTGTTTATTTCTTGTTAATTCAGAATCCTTTATTCTAGTGAAGAGTATGGAGTTTGTATTTCAAACTGGGATTCTTGCATGAGCAGAGAAATTGTTTTATGGCAGAACAATTCAGTTTATTCCCTAATCCTATCAAGGAGCCGCTTAACTTAGTTTGCAACAGTTCATACAACAAAGCTATCTCTAGTACTGGTTAACTGCAAGATATATTCACATACATTATAGTTCCTGGGTGAGACATTGATACAAATCCCACTATTTTACCTGTAAAGCTTTCAAATGTTCTTCAGAACAGCTTTCTAAGTCTGTGATCCTTACAGCCACAGGTGCTCCTGTAGGTGTGTGCCGAGCAAGGTAGATTGAAGTTAAATTGTTGAATCCTCTTCCTATAACCAGAAGCCAATTGCATTTCATTAACATTATAAAAGGTAATTTAAAAAAGAACCCAAAACATTCCTTCATCACTTAGTAGTCAGTCTTAGGCTAGGTCTACACTACAGAGCTTTATCAGAAAATGCAACACAAGTTGTGCTCCACAATTTGTGTAGCTTCTTCTGATCACTTTTTCAAATGAGGCTTTTTTGCCATTTGGCCCAGTCTAGATGGGGCCAAATGGCGGAAAAGCCTCTTCTTTCGGCGGAGCCCTTATCCCTTATGAAATGAGGTACAGGCAGTCCCCGGGTTACGTACAAGATAGGGACTGTAGGTTTGTTCTTAAGTTGAACCTGTATGTAAGTCGGAACTGGCGTCCAGATTCAGCCACTGCTGAAACTGACCGCCAGTTCCGACTTACATACAGAATCAACTTAAGAACCCCCAGGCGTCCCCAAGTCAGCTGCTGCTGAAACTGATCAGCAGCTGATTCCAGGAAGCCCGGGGCAGAGCAACTCTG